GACACATTTCGCTCGAAATTATGATCATTTTGCCATCGAATTGAAAACCCGCGATGTAATGTTCAATGAGGAATAAGCTATACACATTGCAGTAAAGAAATTCTTAATTCGACCGCCAATATTCTTCGTTACTTGTTCAAAGTGAATGAATTTGGTAATACTTATCGTGTCATTGACAACGGAACAGGAGGAATGGTCAAAGATCTCAAGCAATGTGAATTAAAAAGAAACATTTTGGTGCTTTGGATTTCGTTAAAGAATCAATCACTTTTCTTCGAATTAGCTATGAAAGTATTGCACACGGCACCGAAATTGCACATTCACATTGGAAGTTTGACAAAAACATACGGTAAAACATCGCAAGAGTGGAATCGGGTGATTCCAAATTGCTTATGGTTACTTAAAGGGAAAATTCATGTGTGCAATGCATGTCAAGTATTGCGAGCGTCTCGTATCGAGAGGTTTTGCTGTCATTGAAACAAACATTTGCCGAACAACAACAAATTCATTCGTTATGTTTATTGTTGAAATGTAAACAAATCAGTATTTGGGATTGTTCAATGTAGCGAAAGAGTACGATGAGGTTCTATCATGACGATAAATTTCATCGTAGACTAGCGGCGAGCGCGTGTATGCAACATATATCGTTCCCACTTCTGCTATGTTAAGCATAGTATGCTGTTCACGCACACCGATACATGGCCACTAACCAGTATCGCGCTCGTCGCTAGTCTACGATAAAATTTATCGTCATGATAGAGCCTCATCGTGCTCTTTCGCCTGGGATCTTGCTTAGCCAATACGATAATTTCGTTTCGGTGAACATCAATGTTATGAAAAATCTGATTAGACTGCACCATATTGTGTTTTTTTTTGGCATTTCTCACATCACACCGATTGTACCATTGCTTATTGCAAGTAACACGTTCATTTGAGATGAGCATCGCACGATCGAACGTGAAAGTGAGATAAATGTTCGAATCACATGTGATTATAAATTATACGCAGACTGGCAACGGAGTTGATTGTTGACATTCCTGATGTTACAGCTGAGCAAAATCAAATTGAATCAATACTCTAATGAAATTGAATTCATTGTTCGTTTGTGCTGCAAAAGTATGCAAATCGAATTGATTCCGTGGCTTGTAAAATTACGCGAAATGACACAGAATCACTCTAAATCGCTCGTTCATCTGTCGAGTATCGTTATCTAATCAACAATGACTTGAAAAAGAGTCACGTTCGAAGATCGAAGGAAAGAATATTTGCATTGAAAATTGAGAACAACACGTGTGGCGGCTGTTGAACGTCAAAGTCATTTGAGGCGACGCGAGCGCCCCCAATTTCAAAGGACACATCAATGTAATTTAACATTTCAAATCGGAACTACACAGCGCGCCAATTCGAAATATAGGAAAATATAGTGTCAACAGCCGCATCATGGAACAACATCATGCTTTGAAACTGAAATATTATCATAAAAACATACAAACTCAATTAGAATGCGGAGTTGGTTTTGCCAATACAAAACATCTTCAAACCATTTTTGTTTCGTTAGCCAAGAGAATTGCTGCAAAAAGAAAGCTCCGAAATAAATGTCAACATTTTTCCCTTTTTTATTTCCAATTCAATTTATTTCCGTTTTGTTTCATTCACAAATCGAGCTTAAATCTAAAGCGGCACTAATAAATTGTTTGAAATAAAGAAAATCTTAAATGTTATTTTCAAATCATTGGAACTGAAAGTATCTCCGGTGAATTGAGTTTTGAGTTGAAGTGAAAAAAAAGGGTTCAGACTTGCCAACATTTTAATAAATCTATAGAATACGTGAATTATTTATTCTTTAAACAGTGCACTGTTTTCATGTGTCGATTTGCAACGCTTTTCTTGACAAAGCTTGCTGAACATACTTCGCATTGAATCCGCTCTCCGGTGTGATCTTTTCGCATGTGTGTCTTCAAATGTTGTTTGTCTCGGCGATGCTCTTTGCACAAATGACATTGATACTGACGGTGGCCACAGCTATCTTCATGAGCTTCTTTTGCATCTTCGGTTGCGTATCCTCCGAAGCACTTCGAGCATTGGAACGGGAACTGGTCGCTGTGTGCTGTTGACAAATGCTGGTTTAAAACAATACGTTCGACGAACTTCTTGTTGCAAATTTCACATTCGATCGATCTTTTGGCTCCGTGTTTTCCTTGCATATGCCGCTTCAAATGACGGTTGCTAACAGTTTTGTAAAGACACTGATTACATGCGAAGGAACTTCGTTGGCAGCGCGTTTCGTGTGATTGCTTATCGTCTGGTGTGGCGAATCGTCGGCCACATTTCGAACAAGCATTCGGGAGTTCTTCTTTGTGCGCCATTGAATGTTTTTGAAGATTGGCGTTGCTTGTGTACGAATTGAAACAGATTGAGCACTCGAACGGCTTTTCCCCGGTGTGTGTCCGCATATGCTTTGTCAAATCTGATTTGTTGACCGTTCTATATCCGCAAGTGTCGCATTCGAATTGCTGGGGATTACAGAGCCTTTCGTGGTCGTTCTTGTCTGATTCTTGTCCAAATCCTTGATTACATTTTGTACAACGAAATTGACCATGCGTTTTCTTATGAACGTTCAAAACATCTTTTCGTGCAAATGACTTCGAACAAATATCACACTGATACGGCTTTTCTCCAGTGTGAGTTCGCAAGTGTCTTACGAGTTCAGACTTCTTACTTGCTAAATGATTGCACACATGACATTTGTGCTTCTTTTGCTTTTTGGCCACTTGATTCCTGGGAATTGTTCGTTGGTTTTGATTTTTGGAGCTTGCATTCCGTTTCTTTCCGCTGCTGCCAGGTTCTGGTGTTTGCACATCGATTGCGTCACACATTGGCTCTTCGTTGTCATTATCGTTCGCGGCAGCGTTGTCATTCGATCGCTCACATGATGACTTTCCTTTGCCCGTCTCTTCTTCTTCTTCTTCTTCGCATTTGATTATTTCATCCTTCACCTCATCGAAGTCATACGCAAAGTTGACCAGTCCTTCGTAATTCGCTCGATATCTTCCATCAACTCCCGGCCGTGGTATGTTTATGACATCGTCACCGTCGTTGATGGGCTCCACCTTAATCTCCGGTTCCTGTTTGACTTCGACCTTTGCTGACTTGGACTTGCGCTTGCTGCGTCTACCAGGAATACCTTTGAACGGGTTCATTTCTTGAGAAGAATCGAGAGAAAAATTACAAAAATCAATCAAAAAAATTAAAAATCGAGTTTCAATGACTTTGTAATGATGGGAAGTGATTCGATTAAATTCAAGCCACGTATTTTTGCAAAGAAAAAGTACGCACGAAATGTGCACTCAGCGCAAATGCACATAAGTTGGGTTATGTATTATCAATTTTCATGATTTTTCATTTTTTCAGCCGAATCACAAATTTTATGCTCGAAGATTGGAATCCAAATGAATAAAAAATTAAAAACATTCAACACTCACGTTTGTCGTCTCTTTTTTTTCTACAGAAAATATTTGTTTTTGCGAATCGTTTTAAATGTCTTCCCTTCTCGGTGGTCGAAGGAACAATCCAGAACAACGTACAGTGTAGGCAACAGCATCAAAGCTAATATTCACACGCTTGCAAAGCGTGTTGTTTGTGTTGGTGAGTTTCGTCAAGTTCACAACGACGCAAAGTGACACTTCATCTCCATTGGTAGCTGTCAATTGAGCACAATCAGAGCTCAATTCAAAAATATCGGTTAAATTCATGCAGCACATTCTTCTACAAATTCCAAATTCAATCATAAACTTCGTCCTGCCATTTGAATTAAACATTTGTGATAATTGAGTGAATGACAGATTGTCATTGACATTGACAATGGTGCCATTTAAAACTCTGTCGACGTTAATGTTTTACTAAATATTCATTGAGTCTTGACAACGAAACTGAATGGATAGACGAAAATGGAAAGCGATATCAATGCCAAAACGATGGATATGTTGGTGACGGCATTCTGCGTGATTGAAACATTTAGTTGTTAAGTAATAAAAAACTCGCTGATTTTGAAGTGTAAATAAGTTAGTATCGCAGAATTATGCATGTCTCGCGAACACAGCAAATACTATATCTAACTCTGGCTCAACAAATGCATCGAATTAAGATGAAAACAAAATAGCTCACGACACATGTAATTATCAACCCGGCTAACGACTTGGCTTACTAAGATTTATGAAGTAAAAATGCTATAACATTACAAAATAAAATCGAATTGAGGCTGATGAGATTGAACCCATTATGATTTTGTGCGGGAAAATGATGTGAAGTCAGTTCATTGTGGCTGTTCGAAACAACTGAAATCGCACAGAACCACTCTAAGTCGTTCATTTATACGTTGTTGTTATTCTTTTGCAATGGAAAATATCTGCTGTTCAGAGTGTGATATTTCTTGAAGTGTCGGCAAGGAATTGAGTAAATGAACGAGTAACTAGAAAGCAATTCAAATAAGAGCTATGGACGACATACTTTGAATTTTCCAAAAGCACTTGTGTCTCTCGCTGGCCAGGAAATTCGCTGCAAAAATAATCTCAGAAATGAAAAGCAACATTCTTCTCCTTCTTCTTCTTTTTTTATTCCGGTTCCAATGTATTTCTGTTTTGTTTTGTCTGTTCTGTTTCATTCAAGAATGGAGCTCAAATCGATATCAGTGTTACTGAATATTTTATGATTAGAAAATATTGAATGATAATTTAAAATAATTTCGAATTTATTTAAATGGAAGTCTAAATCTAGATAGTCTTTCAAACGGATCAAGCTTTGAGTCAATTGATTTATCTATTAAAAGGAATCATGAACAATTCATTGGAAACTTGACCACTTTTCAACTAATGGGATGTGTGGTTTATTATTTCTTCAAACGATGAACTGCTTTCGTGTGTCGATTGGTACTACCTTTACTGGCAAAACTGGCTGCACACAATTTGCATTGAATCCGCTCACCGGTGTGATCTTTTCGCATGTGAATCTTCAGGAAGTATTTGTTCCGACTATATTCTTTGCACAAATGGCATTGGTACTGACGGCGGCCACAGCTATCTTCATGGGCAATTTTTGCAACTTCGCTTGCGTATCCTCCGAAGCACTTGGAGCATTGGGAAGGGAATTGGTCACTGTGTGCTGTTGACAAATGCTGGTTTAAAACAATACGTTCGACGAACTTCTTGTTGCAAATTTCACATTCGATCGATCTTTTTGCTCCGTGTTTTGATTGCATGTGCCGCTTCAAATGACTCTTTTGAATAGCTTTGTAATGACACTGATTACATGCAAAAAGACTACCTTGGCAGTGCGTTTCGTGTGATTGTTTATCGTCTGGTGTGGCAAATCGTCGACCACATTTCGAACAAGCACCTGGTGGTCCTTCGATGTGAGTCATTGAATGTCTTCGGAGATGAGTATTGGTTACAAATGATTTGAAACAAATTGAACATCCGAACGGTTTTGCCCCAGTGTGAATTCGTATATGTGTTATTAAATCTGATTTGCGCATTGTTCTGTATCCGCAAGTGTCGCATTCGAATTGGCATGGATTACATAATGTTTCGTGGTCGATCTTGGCTGATTCTTGCTCAAATCGTCGATTGCATTTTGAACAACGAAATTGGCCATGCGTTTTCTTATGATGATTCAGATTACTTTTTTGTGCAAAGGACTTCGAACAAACTTCGCAACGATGCGGCTTTTCCCCAGTGTGAATTCGCAAGTGTACTTTGAGATGGGAGTCACAATCTGCCACATGATTGCACACATGGCATTTGTGCTTCTTTTGCTTTTTGGCCGCTTGATTCCTGGGAATAGCTCGTTTTTTCTGCTTTTTCGCGCTTCCCTCGCGTTTTTTTCCGCTGCCAAGTGGTTTTGGTGGTTGAACATCCATTGCGTAACCCAAAGAAGAACATATGTTATCATCATCGTTGGTGGCAGCGTTATCATTAGATCGTCCACATGGTGCCGAGTCCTTATCTTTACCCGTATCTTCTTCTTCTTCACATTTGATTCCATCTTTTACTTCATTGAAATCATCGTTAAAGTTGACCGGTCCATCGTAATTCACCCGATATCTTTCGTTAGCCCTCGGTCGTGGCATGTCAATAATACTGTCACTCGGCTCTTCCTTAATATTAGGCTCTTGCTTGACTTCAATCATTTCGGACTTTGGCTTACGCTTTCTGCGTCTACCAGAAACGCCTTCGAATGGGTTCATTTCCTGTTGGATTCGGGAAAAAATAACAAAAATCAATAGACCAAACTTAAAACCAACCATGAATAACTTAATATTGATGGCAAGTGATTCAATTAAATGCAAACCACGTGTTCAACTTACACACTCAATATTATAGCGACATCTATTATTAAAATAGCTTGTAGTAAATGCATTTATAGCATTTCCCTGTAGTTGCGATATTTCCTATTAAGTTCCCTTGTAGTACTGACACATTCATGTTTGACACTTGTTAACTACATACCACAGGGGAATTTAATAGGTAACATCGCAACTACAGTGAAATGCTATGAATGCGTTTACTACAAGCTATTTTAATAATAGATGTCGCTATAATATTGAGTGTGTAGTATGCACTCATCGCACACGTTCAAAAGTTGGATTATATTTCACTTATTTTCATGAGCATTTATTGATTTTCGCGATTTTTTTTTCTCGACTGAATCACAAATTCGCTTACTCAAAAATTGTATCCAAATGAATAGAAAAAGGTCGAACTCTTACGTTTGTCGTCGATTCTTTTTTGCTGCAAAATATTTTTTCACGTAACTTTCAATATGTCTGCCCCACACGGTGATAATTGACTGAACTCATTGTTGAGGTGGCCGCTCAACACAGACTGTAAACTACGGATACTAGGAGTCATACATTTGCAAGCGTGCTGTTTGTATTGGTGTGTTTCGTTAAGTTTCGCAACGACGTCAAGTACTAGACACTTCATGTCGATTAGTAGCTCTCTTCTGAGCTACTTCAGAGCTCAATTCAAAAATATCGGTTGAACTAATCTACAAATTTCCGATTTCAAATTCAAATTTGACTAAAAAATCTTTTGAAACGAAACGTGTTTGTTAATCAACTTTTTCTATTTTATGAAAATAAATTCATTTTTGTACAAAATCCATCTGCCATTGGAAATCAAAATCAACGCTATGAAGCGCAATGGTAATATATTCAGCAATTCCAAAACCTTTCAGAGTTGCTTTTGTCCCTATCGGAAGTTCACTGACTTGAATCATGAATAACGTTTGAAATGTCATTTCTTACAGACATTTCTGCATTTTATATACTTCCAAACTAAACCGTACAGATGCCGTTAGAGCATGCATTACTGAATATTTTCCATTTATAGCGCATATTGTTGATCAAAATCTTTGATGAGTTAGCAACATACAGTGGGCCCTCGGAAATTGAAACATTCAGAAATTAGAAGAAACAACAACAAATACATTGAAAAGAGCTTCTAATTTCAGAGGTACTAATGCAATGCTCGAGCGTCAAACTACCTCCAATTTTCGAGGGTCCACTGTACTAACTTTGATTAAAGTAATGAGATTTTAAATTCTATCGCAAAAAGTGATATCTATTGTCACTTGTCCGAAGTAAATTTGGTTTAACTGAATATTCATTGAGTCACGGCAAAGAAATAGAATGCATGACCGAAAGCAAACGACAAACATGCTGAATCCTCTATTCATGATAAAAACAAGTCGGTCAAGCAACAGCAAATTCATTCGTTGTATTTATGTCGGCATGTAAACACATACGTAACACAGAATCGTGCCTGTCTGGCGAGCGCAAATAAATTTCAACGGTCATCAAATAAACAAAAAATTGTTCGATTTTGATTGCGACTTGTCTGCCTTCCACTTCGTATTGAGCGAACACAAAATCCGCTTCTTTCTCGAGAACATTCAAATGTCAATTGGTCTGAAGTCAAATTGCAAGCGATTGCTTTTTGGTAACACAATGCGTTGACGGAGTGGAGTGGTGTGTGCGTATATATGTTTCAGTCACAGCCAGATCGGGTTTGTATTTTTTGCCATAATACTTTCATCATAGATGTCCATGGGAACCTATAATCAGAATTGCCCATGTGTAAGTCCCTCACAATTTCAAAATGAACTGTTCTGCACTAGAAAGGAAAAAAACACACAAATTCGATGGACGCTTTGTGAATGAACGGCTGAATACACCTTGATTGAGATAAGCATAAGTGTCGCATATGAATGACCTTATACACTTTTCATTCATCGGCCCACTACACCAAAAATATGGCATGAGATAGATCTCTTCTGTGTGATACATATAACATATGAAACGATTGTATTTTTGCTGCAGCGAAATATTTTTTTTATTGGAAGTTTAAGTTGAACATTGAAATTGAATTTTTTTTTTCATTTTTTTTGGTACGGTGAGCGAGAGAGAGGCCGGAGATATTTATGGTCTTGTCGTAGCAGTCATATTTTCTGGTTTTCATTGGCCAATTCTGTGATTAAAAATGATTTGGAGCATTAGAATTTATGGCACAAGGGCTGTAGCAAATATGACAAATGGATGGGAATTGTTCAACTTTTTACTAACTTTGATGTAAGGTCTATTGGTTCATAGGATGCAACTTCCGGAATTGATTGGACGGAGTCAGCACTTGGCATAGGCTCAGATGCATGTTCGCATTCGGCGCTGTGGACGTGTTCAGCTGCAGCTTGTTTTCCCTTCTTACCCTTTTTCTTGCCCTTTCCTTTCTTTGACTTTTTCTTTCCAGCTTCCACATGACCAGGAGCTGCTTGAAGAGGCAGTTCGCTTGAGATTTCTTCGTTTGCGCTTTGGTCTATTGCGAACTCTTCACCTGTGCTCATTGCTGTTGGCTTGGCTGCGTATTTATCTTTGTTAGCTACGCCTTTTCCACCCTTTTGCCTGAAATATAGACGGATTTTTTTTTTCAAATTAGTTAGTCTCAGTCAGTCTTCCTCGTTCTCTGTTCATCCTACTGGTTTTGCTGTTTCTTATTTCGTTTCCCGTCAGTTGGTCTGTAAATGAGAGATAGAGAACAGTTGTAGTTTGAATTTTAACATTTTTGTTTGAATTTTGAACTTCGAATCAACTATTGCGAAGCTCATGATTTCAATATAAAATGCTTACAGAGTCACCACCGCCAAAACGACGAGAGCGATCACAAAAATGTTGCGGAATGATGCCATTTTGCTTCTGGAATTGAAGAACTGCTTGTTTCTTCGAGATGAATCCTCAAATTTTACTGACTTACCTTCGTTCGGCTTCCCTATTTATACACCGTTTACTCGCATATTTTCAAGCAATTAAAACTGGAGTATGCAAATTTCCTACTTAATTTGCAAATATATTACTTACTATTCTGTATTTTCTTGCCAAAATTACGGTGTTTTGGCACTCATAAGCAATTTAATTGATCCAATGAATATTACCAATCGCAAATAGCGACTTTAATTTGATAATATGTGACGTAAATTGTCTTAATTACAAATATTTCGTCTCATTTAGGTTTGTTTTGCTAGTAATTTTTAATATCATCGAAATTAATGATATCGGAGAGTGTCAATACGTAAATTTGATCAATTTTGCCAAAAACACATTTCAAATTAAAATGATGTGCCACAGAAATCGATAAGTGACTTTTGTTGAAACCATACCATTCCATTTTTAATGAACTTTTTAAATCATTCGAAGATTTTCATCCGTCTTTGTTTATGGATAAAAATTTGATAGAATTTCAATGAACGAGCAATATCAAGGCAATATATATATTGCGCTAACATTACCTAGACACTAATACATTAGCAGTTATATTTTAAAAACATTACTATCATTGTTTTTGTACACTGTCCTCGGACAACTTCAACTCCCATATTGAAGGGAAAAAACCACTCGTCACCTTATCTATCATTGATAATGCACACGAATCATGAATAACAACTGATTTCCGTGATTGACGCACTTCGACGGAAAGATAAGCGATATGGACACAGGCAGTAACACAGAGACCTATTATATGAAGACAATATTGGCCGATATATCTTATCAGTGTTATTACAACGATTACGAAAGTAACATTTTACTCGATACTATCAAAGCAAACAGACAACAGTTGTTTTGTTTTTAAGTGAGTTATTGAATTGTCTCCATTCCCCGTCTGCAAATCACTTTCAGTGACCTTCGGAAGGCAGAGGGTACTTATGATGTATGTACTTCTGTACAACACATTTTATACGGTTGTCTGTTATTTTTGTTAATTTTAAAGAATTTCGTTACTTCAATATCCAATATGCTCCTTTGAAGTTTCAGATTTCAGTTTATTTTCAACTTCAATTAGTAAATTTTTTCGGCTTGGAATTATTTTTGATCATATATTAGACCGAATTTCTCGATTATTTTGAGAAGAAAAATATGTCAGAAGAAATTTTAAAACGAATTTCTGGAACTAAATTGCCAAATCGAAATATTCATTCTTTGGACTAAGTTCCCAAAAATGAACGTTTCGATTGAATTTTTCATGATTTTTCGACACTTTTTTTTCACAAATTTAGTTAGATTAGATGTTTATTCCATACTTCATCGGTTTTTATGAGTGGGACTGAGTGTTGGTACGTAGACGAGAATAACGAAAATGAGTGGTATTTAAAAATGGACCAAGAAAAAGAATAACTGAAATTTTTGCAAAATATTGGCGATGTGACACCACCGGCATCAAATGTTGTTCCTCTCGCACTAACTGCTGTCATGCCTAAATCACGTACCAAATTTCATTAGTGCGAGCGAATACGTTATATGTCACCGTCAGAAATCTATCTCTATCGTTCTTTCAAATACTTACCTAAATGGTGCCATTTTGAATGTTAAAATACTAAAAATTGAATACAAACACATATCACTTGCATTCAAAATTGATTCCAATGGAACAGATAATTTTTTCTTAGTTTCTACCCATCGATGATGATGATTTTGAATATATTTCTTCATTTCAATTTAAAAGAGTCTCATTTCTCTAGGTGAGATTAAGAGAGTGGAGTATGTTCTTTTAACTTTGTATTGGAACGAGAAAAGTGGATTGATTTTTTAAATCAAAAGATGGTGTGGAATGAATTGAAATAAGATTTCTGGACTTTTGGGTCAATCGTTACTATTTTTACCTAAAATTTACTGTTACTTATTTAAAATTTGATAAATAGCGAACTTGGGGTCAATCGCAGACTTGTTGGAGAGCACAAAATTGATGGTTCTCACACATAAAATCACCTTGGGCTACCGCAGGATGATATCTGAGGCCGAAGTTATAGGTTTTATAATGAAGAATGAAATTTTTTTTCGCCTTGAGGCCACCTTTCGGTTGAGGTAGGATAAGTTCTTGGATGGTGCTACCGATATGATTTTAAAAATAGATCCACTCTAGCATATGCGAACGACTAACAAATCAAATTATTTATTTTTGACAGTTTATTTTGTCCTCTGGAAATTGTAAAGTTTTACAAGCGTCTCTTGCCAAGAGTATAAATTTTTATGAAGGTCATCAATGCGTTATCTCTTGTCATTAGAATGTAATTGGTACGAATGAAATTTAGTCTACTCTTTCACAAAATGAGTCAAAAGAAGCATATTTTACTCTCAATTCGATCATAGATTCAAATTCAGATGCTTGATTCGATCAGGGAGTGTAACTCCGAGGAGGAGGAATGGTGAGGAGGTGAATGAGGAGGAGGAGTGCGCTGAGGAGGTTCCTCCTCCTCACATGAGGAGGAAATAAAAATTACCAAAATTGAGGCATATAAATTTATTTTAAACACTTTTATTGATTTGGAACGGATGCCAACGATAAAAAACTACGATCAACATCAATAGAAGTGTTTAAAATAAATTTATATGCCTCAATTTTGGTAATTTTTATTTCCTCCTCATGTGAGGAGGAAGAACCTCCTCAGCGCTCTCCTCCTCCTCATTCACCTCCTCACCATTCCTCCTCCTCGGAGTTACACTCCCTGAATTCGATCAAGGAGCTTGAGAGTGCGGAATATCGCTTTAAAAATCCACTTTCAAGATCAAAAAGATTCACAATTCATGCTCAATTAAAAAAAAAATCTAAACCAAAGAAAGAAAAAGCCATAACAAACCTATTGTTTCATTGAAGAAACGAGTTTTATATATTTTTATTACTTACATCCTGTCATATAGCACCGTTTAGCTCAGCTATTTAAATACCAATCATTTTTTTTCTCCTTGCAGTGCTACCAATTCTCCATCGAATTAAGCTAAAGCTAGATTTATTATACTATGAAAATAGCGGTTGCAATTATCGTACCATATTTAGAATGCCACAAGTCAATTTGAATGAACACGTTTCTCCGCGGCAATTAAAATATGGTAAATTGAATAGAAGTATATCGATACTTGGTTTTTGTTTTTCATTTCAAATGGGAAATAAGTTCAACCCTTAATGATAACAGCATGAGTGTGTAATTAAGACAAAATAACGGGAATGGCACAAAAACAATGCGGTCATACATCAGTGTGCAGTACTTACCGTGAACTGATTAGATTTATATTTTGAATGCGTCAAACGACTGGAGTGAGTCACATTCAATAACAAAAAAGCGTATGCATATCCGGTTATTGATCATAAGAAAACGACGTCATGATCATGCGTTGTTCTTCTGAAACACAATAACGAATGACACATCACTCTTAGTAAGAGTCTCTTACATGAACTCTCTTTCACTCGGTTGAGCTGTCATCTGCAATTTTTTTTTTCGACTGAAAATTCAAAAGAAATGACCCCAACACAATTCCATTCGATTATTCATTCGTTTCGAATGAAAACATCCATTAATTTATTAGCGAAAATCGTTTAAAACATAACTTAAAAATGTACGTTTTTTGTTGTAAATATTATCCATACGTTTTGGTCGTTAAATCGAATAAAAATTGAACTACAAGTTAGGTTTAGAGGCGAGAAGAAGGTAAAAATGTGTTTTTTGTTCACTCTTTCATTCGTTCACTTTGCCCCTGCCCGCTTTGGAACCATACGCTTCAGCTCTGTCCAGAGCAATAGCAACCGAATGAAAGCCGACGAACATAAAATTAAATGATTGAGGTAAAAATGACCTAAGCCTTAACAATTTAATTCGCAGTGTTTGTTAATGCAATAAGGCAACGAAGAAGAGCAAAAAAAAATAATAATTAACATAAAACAGTCAACATATAATTTTCCGAACAAAAATATTGCTCACAATACGCGCAATATATTAAAAAGTTCGAGGAAAAAAAAAATTATATGATTTAGTCTTAAGGCAGTTAGTGTACTAGAGTCTTAATGGTTGTTGAGACCAGTTCGTTTTTCTCATATCGGTATGTGGTTTGAATGTTATTTTCAATGACAATTTTCGTTGTAGTTTGTTGTCCATCTTTGCCAAATGTGGTTTGTGTATAGGTTCCCCTTCGGATTTCATTGGTTTTGCCATTGGTGTTGGTGTTTGTCTTGTTATTACTGTTATTATTTGTCACATTGATTTCGGTGAATGGGTCCCACATGAATGACATAAAACTGCGTGGTTCTTTGCGATTTGATGCAGTTGCGGCGGCGGCTGCTGCTGCTGCTTGACGTCGACTTTCGCCAACAATATTTTGGCCAAAATGTTTGGACCGTGGATCGGTATTGAAAATATCAGCTTCATCCTTGAAAAATCCACGGAAAATATCATGCGCTGATTTAAATGTAAAGAATGGCGATGTATATGGATCGTGTGTTGTATTTGTCGTTGAACGGGCACGTCGTGATGCATTACGACGTGCATCATGCCGTAGTTTTTTATCATACGTTTGTCGTTTGCTATCATCCGATAGCACCTGATACGCTTCGGAGATTTGCTTAAATTTATTGGTCGCTTCGGTGCTGTTGTTATTTTTATCGGGATGCCATTTGAGCGATAGCTTTTTGTAGGCTTTACGAATGTCAGCATCGTTGGCTGTCTGCGCCAATTCCAAAATCTCATAATAGGTAACCATGTTTTGTTTGTTCTTTCGAATTTACCGTAAAAAAAAGGTTTATTATAATTTAATAAATACCACAGCTGTTGTTCTTAACGTACGCGTTCAACGCTACGTCTCTCCTTTGTTCCTGTCTTTTTTTTCGCCTTTGTTTCCTTTCTTCGAACACGCTCCTACCTTCACGTTGTTGTAGGTGCAATTATATGATTATTTATAGCCCAACTGTTTCTCTTTTTTTCTCGTTCTTTTTTTTTGCGGCTGTGGTTGTTGTTCCCAAGCGGTCAACGCTACTGGTGCATTGTTCTTTCCTCTGTGTGCGTGTTTACTTTTTGGTTTCGTAAAAAAAAAAATCAGACGAAAACACCTCGATCTGTTGTACCACCTGCAAATATAGAAGAGCAGAGAAAAATGGAATAAAATAACAAGAAATAACACCAAATGTTTAGACAAAACTGTTTCACAGCGCGCTTTTATGACCGCCTGACACGAACACATATAACAACAGTAACCCATAAGTGAGAAAAAAAAAATTGCAACAACAACAACAACTAGCACAAAACAATAAATACATGTGTGTTGTCTCTGTCGCGCTTTCACACAGCAACAACAACAACAATAAACCAGATACGGTGGAACAAAGGAAAAATATATATTGAAATCATGTACACTCTTCTGATAATAAATCACACAATATGTGGAAAGAAAAAAAGTGTGTTTACTGAAGAGTTTACTTGATATACTGGAGCCACTTTGGCCAAACGCGCGCGCGCGCTTCCGCGATAACGAACTTATTAGCTCAAAATGCTCTCAATATCTCAATTTTCGAATAGCCACACAACTCAATTCACATAAAACTGATTATTGAACACCGTGCAAAGCACCATTTTAACTCAATGGGCGACAACGATGAAATATTGAACTGAATAATGTAACACACAGCCCAGCCGAAGAAACACACAAAATCCGGCACAAAGATGAAACGAACAAAAAAAAAAAATCCGTTGTTAAACATATATTACTATATAAATTTCGCAATTCGGCACACACATCGCTTGCCGTTTTTTCTTTCTTTCAAGTATTACTGTTATTGTTGAATTTGTTCGCATCTTTGCAACAACAATTGAACAATTAGCATTTTGCCATTTATTTTCTTCTTCTTCTTTTTCGTTCGCACTTTTGACACCACCAACTGTGTTTCAATTTGTTGATTTCTCTCATTTTTTTTGGACGAGACTTACCCGAAAAAAAACACTTCTGCCTGCACTGAACGCACCGATGAAAATGATGTACACGTTTCTATTGATACTCTTTCACTTGAACGCAACATTCAATTCGGGTTCCTTTTGAAATCACACACGAAACGTAAAAAATTGATTTGCTTCGAAACGCGAAATTCGTTAAACTGAAGACGAAACAAAGCAGTAAAATAAACTGAAATGTTGAGCTTGATGATTCAAACTGAAATTCCGAATAACCACGCTGATGTTACCGCCACTGCATTGCCTATGGTTATTGTTACCAGTTACGTTGGTTGCTTTTTGTGCACACACCACAACGGCTATCTCACACACTACACGCTAAGATGACGACAGTACGTGTGTTTTCGGTGAGGTTCGATGTGTGTTTCTTCTCTTTTAGTCATCGACCGCTTATTTGCAGGTCTTTCTCTTCTTTCTCGTTTCTTTTTTCTTATTACTGCTGTTAGCTGTGGTTGTTGTTGTTGTTGGTGGTGTTCAAGTTGCGGCCCACAGTATTGTGATGTTACCTGATTTCTTTTGTTTATTCCATTTCAGAGCACAAATTTATTTCGTATAAAAACTTTTGCTTTTTACACGACACGACACATTCGCGCCCCACACACACAAATACCAACTACAATGCCAATACCATACACACACACAACGGACGTCTATGAGCCAACGAACAGAGCAATGAACATTCGAATGCTCCCCTCCGACCGACGTCGTCGTTGCCGTCGTTGTCGTTGACTCCAACACACTAACACTCAATATCACTTTTTAAACATACTTTGCATACGGCTTTTTAGTTGATTCCTTCAAATTGCCTTAGATTTGGATGCATTCTTACGCTTTGAATGCCAAAATTAAAACTGATTTGAAAAAAAAAACTGCATCTATAAATAGAGATTCAGTTGAGTCTTGCGACTGTTTGGCATTGTTTAAATTGGCATCGACGAAAGAGATGCACTGCATTACGAATCGCAGTGACAGTTCAAACAGCAGTCACATCGAGCCCTATGAGGTCTGGTTTTAGTATTCAATTGAACAACACTCACACACACACACGAATCAGACATTTTTCTTCATTTCAACAACAACAAAAATTGATTTGATTTTATGTTAACGCCTTATTTGGTCAAATCTTTATGAAGAATTTTTTTTTTCTTTCATTAAACGATTTGAAATTGCACAATATTCATTTCAAAATCAATGGTTCAAACCGATTGACATTCAAATGGTTTTGGCCAACCATGCGAACGTAATGTTTTGACGTGTGAATGTCAGAATTCACTCACTCACACACACGCACACACTCACACGCATGCAAACATATGCGTTTCAATCGGCACGTCGGTCGTTGTGTGTTCGCTCATTTGTTTATATCACGTCTCCAATGGGCTGAAATTGATGCCATTTCAATAGAAATGAATGTGGTGTTGCTTCTCGCTGCTTGGCTCTTTGTTTTCTATTATTTGTTTCACTTCGGAAATTTGCAGTTATATGGAAATTTGGTGTGAGTCATTAAAACATACGGTATACGTAAGTAAGACAATGACATTTGCCGAAATGATTCGTGTTGATGCGTGTTTCCGAATGACGATGACGACGACGACGACGACGACGACTAGCCGGTTTTTGGTTTGCTACTCTGTCGGTTTCCACTATTCACCTTTCGCATTACGCATTACTCGCTAGATTTAGTCTAATGTGATGAAATTAAATTCGCCTGGTTTTTTCGCTTCTTCTCCTTCTTCTTCGTTTCAATACGATCGGAAATCATATCGATCGATTGAATCATCAGCATTTTAATACATATTTAAACGGATCCCCCCTCCGGATTGGAACTTTGAACCAAACTGATTTAAATATTCATCGATTATTTCCGTTGGATCACCGCACACACCGCGTAATGTACAACAATGCCACAATTTGCACAATCACTGTGACTGATTTCGCGGCGCAACGAATGGTTTCCATTCCAACCATTTGGCAACAAACACCTTGGGAGTTTGAGTGATGAGATTAAAATTGGATGCATGAATGAATGTGTGTTTTCTCTTTCGTTCTGTAACTCATTGGAAATTTCAGGCTATTAAAATCGCTGTTCAAGTGACGTGTGTTGCGTTTCTTTTTTTCATGGAACGTGATCATCTTTGTTTCGATTCGCTCAATTTGGCGTAATTTTTTCTTTGATTTGCATGCATTTTTCATATTTAAATTGAGATGTTAGTACAATTTAACCATTTTTGGCAATACCATATCGAATTGCTAATGAAAAAATGCAAACCGGGCTTGAGATAAACTTTTGAAAAAAGATTAACGGTTTTTTTTCGGTGAATTATCATGATCTACCTTTTAACCACTTCTTAGCATTTCTTCGGTGAATTTTCAAATCAAAATCAATAAATTGATAGAAATAAAGTGAAAAAGTTTGGAATGTAGCCATTTTGGTGGAACTTGGAATATAAAACTTGCCGTTTTTCTCTAAATCATATCCAGTCTTGTAATTCAAGTTAAAATTAGTGGCCGTTGATTATGACAGCCAATATTTAGACAATGAAAATTTAAAAAAAAAAACAATTTTTTATCTTTCTGGCTCTGTTTTTCGCTTATTTTGGCCTTCTCTATACGCCTCTCATTGCTATTTTTTCCAGTTTTTGAAAAAAATGTTGAAAAATATCTAATAAGTCTAGACTGGTCGAAGCGTCGTCTCTTTATTCTACTTTTTCTGCGTATTGAATCAAAGATAACTTCATTCCTGGCTTTAACTGGGTACAATTTCAGAAGTGGCGTTCTCCATATTTCAACCCACATTATTGCATTCGGCGATCATTCCATTCCGTCTGACGTACTATTGACTATAAACGAAATTCTGTGCTGAAAAGGCCATTTTCTAAACGTGTGACTTGAGTTTTTATCTATTCTTCTCTCCTTCATCTTCTTCGATTTGATTTATGAATTTAATGGCTGCTTTCGAATCGATTCCGTATCAATTGATTCAATTAAATTCCGATAGATCAAATTTTTTATCCATTCCAAATCGATTTATCTAATCTAATCAAAAGTTATCGTTGCCATAAATTTAATTGGTTTAATTAAATTAACTAATTAAAGTCGGTATCAACTTAAACCCCAATTAAAACGGAATAACTCGTTATGAAACCGATAAGAATGGCTAAAAATCGAAAAAGTTTCAAGAATACTCAAACTCAGGTCAAAACACCGGATTTTAATTATCATCAAACCAGAAGCATCAAAATCCGTGTTGAAAATATCAATAAATTGTGGGCGAAGAAATGTATAGTCTATCTTAGGATGGACATAAAAATTTGCATTATGTGATGGTGTCGAAGAATGGGTATACATTCTTTTAAATTTTATTTTTATGAGCTATTTACTCAATTCCATTGTGCGAGAATATTGATTACTAGGTACGTACGTCCTGTGATTGGAATTACAATCAATTTCATAGAACTGCGAAAAAATTTAGTCAAGTCGGCTAGTTAAGTCAATCAAATGTATTAACTATGATTGTCTAGTGATTGAAATTCTAATCACAGTATATACAAAATATAGTCGAAATTGCCCAAATTGTATGCAAAACAAATGATTAGGAGACCATAAAATTACAAAATTTCAAGCTGCACACGCCGATCAATCGCATCATTGATTCAACATCGTACCGCGTACGATATCTTAATGAACTTCACACCACATCAAATAGAAATATGACAACTATGTCATGTTCCGAAAAAAATTGCGCAAGGCCTATGTTTCTGATTGAGAATGCCTCAAATCTAGGGGTTTCACGCAAACTCGAAGGCCGAAGATTTTACTAAATAGCTGGAAATAAAACCATTTTATGTGTAAACTATAGATATTGCTTCTTTTTATTCATAAACTCGAATTTTTTAGAATTTTTTGAATCTAAAAATTCTGGAAGTGGGTTTTGGTGGATCCTCAGGATTGTTCAAAACCGCTCCTGGTTCTGGAAGTGGATCCTCAGGATGGACCAGGGCATTGTCAAACCCAGTCTGATCCATCCTGAAGATCCACCAAAACCCACTTCCAGAACATAATTTTCAAGTTGAATGTTGAAATATTTCGAAATAATACGGATTTTGGTGAATCCCAGAGAATTTGAGAGAAAAGAGAGAAATATTGAAATTTTAGATGAATTTTAAGTTGCGTGAAACCCCTAGCCTCAAATAGTCAAATTGGAAGCTTCATGGAATTGAAATCCCTTCGATATTTTGAATAATTGAAATGGTTCTTCCTTCAAACTTGCGTTGTGGTTAAATCATCGCATTAGTAAAGCGATTTTTGTCCTATTGCTCTTTTACTTGGGGGTTAACTGCTGCTCATTCAAAATTGGACAACATTCAATTGCGAACAATTTATAACCATTGAGAAAGAACATATTAAATACGGCTCGCGAGTCCCACCATAGAAAGTACAGCGTATTTATAATATTTTTCGTATTGAATCGTGAGACTCACATGACACATAAGCTCTTCGGACAAATGAGTAGTTTGGAGCGAAAATGTAATACAGAAAAGTTGCGTGGAAAAATGTCGCTAATGAATAAGCGGAAAAAGGGATAGCTATATAGTAAACTATAGTGAACTATAAAGCTATCTCTTTTCATTTGACATTTTTCCGCGCAACTTTTCTGTATTACATTTTCGCTCCAAACAACTCAAACGATCCTTATATGAATTAATAAGAACACGTGAAAAATCGCAAAAACCCACAAATTTCAATTCTTATTTTCGTTTTACACAAGCCAAAAACGAGATTCGCTTTTCGAATAATTTGAATTGATTTTTTTCTTACTTTTATCCTTTTAATAGGATAATTTAATCTATAAATATAATAAATTTGTTCATCAATTTGATCATTGGCTAGATTTGGTCAGTTGGCATCAACTGTCAGGATGGCCGAGCGGTCTAAGGCGCCAGACTCAAGATTAATCGTCTTGCTCATGTAGAATGAGTCTTCTGGTCTACATCTGTAGGCGTGGGTTCAAATCCCACTTCTGACAAAATATTTTTTTTTTCATTTTCTTCGTTCATTTTTCTACAATGTTTTTTTAGGAATATTCATTTGTTTTGAATTTTGTTTAATTTTATTAATTCAATCGATTAGCAGCTGATCGTTTAGTTCATTAATTTGCATAACAACAAGTATAATCGCACATGCCAAAGTTGTCTTTTCATTGAATTCGTGAATTTTATTGAATCAAGCAAGCTTCATATTAAAGATGAAACAGAAGAAATGATGAGAATAGGCTTCAAGAAGTGTTTAAAAAGGAATTTACTACATGACTTATATAGATAAAAAAAAATTTGGACAAACATTCTACTGGCCATTGACGTTCGGAAAAGCGAAAAAAATATTTTGTCACAAGTGATGATCTAGCTGATAATCAAATTGATGAAGAAAGTTATTATATTAATAGATCAAATTATCCTATTGAAAGGATAAAAGTAAGAAAAAAATCAATTAAAATTATTCGAAAAGCGAATCTCGTTTTTTGCTTTTGTGAAAGGAAAATATGCTCGATTTTTTCGAGTTACACAATCACAAAATTATTTTTATCATTTCAATATCAACAGAGAGTGACTGATTACGTGTTTGTTTCGTTAGATTAAAAATATGATCTTGCTGAATTGAAACGGTTATGGTGAACCAAACGGAGATTGCATAGAAAAAAAAATTAAAAATTCGAAACGATTGACAAGAATATCAAATATGATTGTTTCGGTTCACCGTAGAAATCGCTATGTCATAAAAAAGCCACCTCGTCTCGGCAGCTCGGAAGTGGAAAAATGTCATTTTGGTCAAAATTCCAATTAATCACGAAAATCGGTTCATTTTTCACCCATTGTAGTCATTGGGCTATTTTTTCACATTGAATTTTAATCTTGTCGTGTTGAATTGATCAAATTTGTAATCTATCTCGAGTCTACTATGTTAACAGAAAGTTGTGTCAGAAAGGCTCTTGTACCAACAACTACAACGCGCCAAGGAATCCTTGAACCTTTTTTCTTTTTGTTCCATTTTTATTTGTGTACCTCCATTCAACATTGGTTTATTTACATGTCTGACACGCACACATAAATGTGATATATTCCGACTTCCCTTGTCAGTGCGTGCTGATGAAAATGTTAGTTTAATTTATTCTAAATATTGGCCATAATGAGTTTCATCTTGAGGTTGTCAAAGACATGTGTGCATACACACACGGGGAGACTCTTTTATTCTAAAATGAGAATAGTAAAATATTTGAATTTGAATAAACACGCGCATTGTCTCTTCCCCTGTAGGTCGTACGCAGCGAATTTTCCTTCAACATTGGGTCCTTCAATAAATCTTATGATAAAAACTGAGGCGAAATAGAGAGAGTAGAAAAAATGCAAAAGAGCATTCAGTAAACAAAAGACGACGATGATGGCAATAAAACAATGGCAACAGAGAGTGAGAGATCGACAGATAGATGTGACAGTTGGAGAGAGTGAGATGGCGTGCGCGCACGCCGCATCAATGGCATCATCGATCAACATCGTACCGCGTACGATATCATAATGAACTTCACACCACATCAATTAGATAGATAGCTATTCAAATCAGAAGAGCACATCGCGGTGCTCGAGTCGATAAATCGTCAGATAATAATGTGGTCGTAACGCGCAGGAACGACAAGAAAAATGACAAAGAATAAATGGAGTGTGATGTATTCATAAAATAATCTGTCCATAAAGCCTTATTCTGTTGTGTTGTACATCATATCGTTTAGTCGCAGCCATTTGAATAATTAAACCAAAGCCATACACATTGAATAGTGAATCTCGTATGAATTGCCCAAAAAATGCATCCATTTTTTCGGAGGTTATTCGGCTTTTATGTTTAGTTTTATTTTTTTTTCCTCCAAAAATACACCACATCAGATGAAAGAATGAACACAAAAAATGAGTTATGAGCTGTGTTATACAAGGAGATGCCGTGTGCAGCATATAAATAAAATTTGATTTGTCCGGGGGAAGAAAAGGAAGAAAATGGGAAAAATAAAACGATGATATTGTTTACACATTTGGTGGTATGAAATGAAACACCAGCGTCGACTACGAAAAAAAAGAAATAGATTTGAAAAACTAGACACAAAACGAAAAAAAGAGAACAGCGAACAGCGACAAGTCGACAAAAGACAAACCAGAACAGGCTAAAACAAACAACCGGATAGCTGCATACTTCTTCGAATGAAAGGAGAAAAAAATGGCTTGAAACAACAGCAACAGTATGCGCAAGAGGCTTATCGAAACGTGAGCTGAAGACGGTAGTTTCAGTTGGATCAGTTGCAGCTTCGAGAGAATACTTCAATGTTGTTCATTTCGTTTTTGGTGTCTCTCTGTTGTTATTTCCTTGGTTGTACTCTTGAGTCGTAGTTCGTTAATAGACACATTTATGAATTAGCCTACCAAAAGGGAAGCAACGAAACGACAACAGAAGAAGAAAAAAAAAACTAAATAAAAATGCAAACATGAAAAACGACGATGAGGACAGAGAGACAGAGGAGTACAAAAAAAAGCTATCATATAGAAATGACTGATTGATATTCGTCTTCATGCGTATTGAATTTTATTAGATTTGTGCGTTATGCGTGGTGGTATTGACTTGTCCTTACGGCCACTGTATGTCTATGGGATCGTGTTAAATTTTTTTTTCTTTTTTCTTCGTTTTCTCATCGTCGTTTACGTGCATTTCTCTTCCTCTTTCGTCGATTTTTCGTTCGCTTTTTTTCTGTGCATTATTTTCATTTGGCTGTTTTATCCATCATCGTCGTCGACTGTGTGCTATAGACCATATATGCTGGTGTGTACAGGGGCCAACTATTTGGTATGTTTCTCGCTTAAAAGAGAAAAAAAAAATTAAAAGAGAAGAAAAGAAAAACAACTGAAACCGATCGAAAAGCACACAGAACGAAGCGATTGTCAACACACAAATATGAATATATATATGCGAATGCGACATCGACCGATCGAACGAACGATACGATACTCATTCAATCTATTACCGTTCGCTCTCTTTCTCACGCACACACTCATGCATAGCCAGAGAGACACTCTCTGACTAACTGTGTGGTAGGCGTGTGTGTATACAGTGTGAGTGTGTCTCTCTCTCTTTTGAGCGCTAGCACACGCTCGCACGCCTCTATGCCTCTTCACAATATTCCAAAATAGTGAGAGAGCAAGAGCGTAATCCATCGAAACGGGTGTAAGCGGTTTGCGTTCGACGAAACGTTTGCACAGTCGAAAACATGTGTTGAGAGCGTTATGATCGTTACTTATTCATGAATTGAAGAGGAAAAAAATCGTCTTTTTTTTTTAGCCGGCAATTTATTAATTCGACGATTTGAAAACGAGCCATTTTTACACGCCGCTATTTTGTTAAAAAAAAAAAAATTACAAGACCTATTCTCGCCATTTTGGCCAGTAAGTGAAAAAGTGGGTTTTTTTTTCGTTAAAAAAAAAGAAATTTTCGCAAATCGTTTTTTTTTTCGCCAATTTTTTGTGGTTGATAAGAAGAGCAACGAAAAAAGAAACGGTTTCATTTCGGTTGTGTCCGTGCGTGTTTGTGTGTGATTTTTTCTTTTTGCATTTGATTCTAGTGAATAATTTCGCCGAATCACTCTCGAAGCAACAAAAAAAAACGGTGAATAGAAAGGCGAGAGAGTGAACGAGCTTGTTAATATTTGCACGGAACTTTTTTTTTCTGTCTTCTTTCGTTTGAATTTTTGCTCGATTTTCTTTTCGGCAAAGTAACATAAATTACACACAACCAACAGCAACAACAACAAATTTTTTGAAGAATAAACGCCTTGGAATCCATGTGATCATTCGACAGAAAGAAAAAGAGGGAGAGAAAGAGACGATACTGTGCATTGTTAAGACTGAACAAACGGTTGAGATAATTCGCAATTTTCATCTTGGCAAACAAACCCAGCCCAGATAACAACACTATCAATTTTTTCTATCGCTCGCTCGTTCGTTCGCTTCCTTCAACGCCAAGTGTGTGTTACATTTGTCGTTGTCAACTTCTTTTTGGCACAATTCTTATTTGCGCCCGTCATTATTTGCCACTGCGGAGAAAAAACGATCCAGGTAATTTCTTTCATCTCTTTTTTTGTTGTTACATCACACCTTATTTTTAAGATCAGTGAATTACTTGTGTAACTGTATAAGTCCAGAAATTTTTCTGCTGAAGATCGAAACCAGAGAGAGAGAGAGAGAGAGAGAGAGAGAGAGAGAGAGAGAGAGAGACGTAAAAAAAAGAATGTAAATGGGTTAATTGAGTTATTCAATACGGTTAGCATATTTTGTTGCTATCGAATGGTACACGTGATGTCTTGGGGAATTCGGGAGAATGAACGAGAAGAGTCAAGCAAATACACATTGGACAAGCATGCGAAACTATAGTATTGAAATGTGTAATTGAGACTTTGACGCGCGCACGCCACTTATTTAGATCTAGATGAAACTCAACAGATAATTTTCGTGTAGAATTCACAATGTTGATCTAATGCCATTTGCGTAGAGGTTTGAATTGACATTTCGATTGAACCAGAACATTTGCGAAGACATATCGAACCATTCACAATGTAGAATTTTATCTGACAGGCTCTCTCTCTCTCTCTTTCGAAAGCAACAACTTGCACACCAACAATCGAAGTAACAGCCAAGGAAAGTACAAGCAATATAGATGCTTTTGTTCTTGGAATTACTCACATTTTTCGGCTTTTCGATTTTCTTTCAACCGAATTTTTCGCTTTTCTTCTTAGCATTTATTCTTTGCTTTCTCGGGAAAAATGATTTAAGCAAATGCAAATGAAAACTTTTTCGAAGAAAATATTACGATTTTTTGCAATTCATGAAAATTTCCGAAAAACTATGCAATTGGATATGTATGAATGAAAATTGTCAAGAAACAAATGAATAATATGAAGGAAAGAGAGAAGAAAAAAATCAATGAATCGATTTTCTCTAAGAAAAAAAAATTTCTCTTCAAAAAAATCGTTTTCTTCCCGAAAGTGAAGAAAAAAATCTCAATTTTTGACGGTGAATCACCGTTTTTTTCTTTGAAAAAATCGATTCGCCGGCGAAAAAGTGGGAAAAAAGTCACATTTTTTCTAAAACAGGCTTTGGTTTTGAGAAAACTGTGTCTTTAAAGCCGTCTTATTTGAAACCGTCTGTTTATTGGAAAATTTATCTCTTTCATTTGGACAGAATTTAATTTTTTCTAGTACAAAAGACTCGTTGTGTACCAAATTCATGTGTTTTTGAGCAAAAAATTGTCTTTTAGTATACTAAGGAACTTCTATAGAAAAATTCTCTTTCCGCGTAAGAAACTTACCTTTTGATTTCGACCACTTTCAAGTCAAATCCGTCATCAAATTCTCCTCTTTTGTCAAAATCGCCGTTATCAAAATCTTACTTTTCGCCAAAAAATGTGATGTTTTGGGTCAAAATTTCTCTTTATCCGACGAAAAGTTTATATTTGATTGAAATTTCCTTTCTTCTCGCATCAAAAGTCGTTATTTAAAAAACTTCAGGCAAGAATTTTCTCGCTATCAAAATGTATCGAATATCGTGTCCATCCTCAGCCGGCATTACATTTCGGTGCGATGCGATCAAAATTCGAATTTATCTAATTGGTCGACATTTTTGACATGATAAACATTTGAAAATGTCAATGGAAAGTATGGGGCCGGTATTCCACTGCCGCTACATGATCACATTGCGATGGAAGTGTTGCGCGGCGCTCGCGAGCTGTTGCACTGGCCCAAACTTTATGATAAAGCTCAGCATGTGATTGTATAATTGTGTAATTATTAATGAGTGAGCGAAAAAAAGCCCCATATCGTACGATCCACACCACACCATGAATGAGGAAGGCAGTTAAAACTTTTGAAATGAGTATAAAGAAAGAGCGAAAAAAATGCGCTCGCGCGCACACACACATCACATACGTGAATAGCTACTTAGTGAAACTTGGTATATATCGAAGCACCATTTAAATAGTGCAAGAGAGAGAGAGAGAGGTTGAAGGAAAGCGTAGAAGAAGAAAAAAAACACAATCATAATAATGATCGTACATTTTACAATCGTTCGGCTGGTGTATTAAACAATAAACATTATGACAATCAGCTACAAAAGCTACATAACCAAGAAGCAATCCAACAAAAGTGAGTAAGAGCAGCGCGAGAAGAAAAAGAGCAACGTTATGAGTACTAGTGTAATGAAAGCAACAACAGCAAACAACGACGACAACTACGACGATGACGACGAAAAAAAAAGTTCGAGTCATTTACAATTTACACACACTGTTTGCGATCGTCATTGACCTAACGGCGACCGCCAGAAAACATAACACAAAAATGCGACACAGCATGAGCGATAGAGCGCAAATGAGCCAACGAATGAGACAGCGAATCCATTGAACACCGATTGTGAAATAGTTAATTATGCGTCGATGAGATGGTTAAATAGCCGCGTGAGAAAACAAAATTGCCGACGTCGATTGACAATTGCATCCGAATTGAGTGTGTGTGTGTGTGTGTGGATCGAGTGAGTTTGACCCATCAAAGCTCATACAAATTAACAATTTTTATAGTTATTATAAACGAATAAAAAAGTGTAACAGACAGAAAAGCGAACGACATCGAATGGACAAATTGAAATCAGTGTGTGTCTCACAAACAATGTGCATTCGAATGAGTGTGTGCTGTTGCCCCATCAAGAGAGTAATTTGCGCGTAAACCAACCGATCGATCGAAAAAAAACTAGCGACTGACTGACCGGAGGAGTAGCTACATGGCACACGCGACTGAAATGGATAAGCGTACCGAGTCGAACAGTACCAAATTTAGTATCATGCACTAAAATGCGCTAATATTTTATTTCGCATTTTGGCTCTGTGACGCCGTTCGTTCGGTCGTGTTCCATCCATAAGTGAGTCGGGCGCGGGTTTTGGAGCTGTGTCGTCGTCGTCGACGTTTTTTTTCTTCTCTTCACTCTGTCGCCTGTGTCTCTCTCCTCCAGTCGCAGAGAACAAACATCCAAATCGTTTTAGAAATTAAACTACATTTTGTTCCATCGAACATTCGCATAATCGGCGATGATGAATAAATACTATATGTGTTTAAAATACATACGTCGACAGAAAATTACGTTCGAATTGCACATTCATCTTTGCGTTACGAAAACAAAAACGGCGAAAACAAACAACGCGAACAGAAGAGATAGAGAGAAAAAAAAACAACGCGCTCAATTCGATTGAGTCAGTCAGTGTTGATTGTTGTTGTTGCTGCTGCCGCTGCTGCTACTTTTTTGCCTTCATCTCTTGATTTCATCCGATGGATGTCTATCTTACTCTCCGGATGTCTATCTTACTCTCCGCACAATAAACACTTGTTTTCACATTTCATTTCAGCCACATCTTTCACTCTCACTCCGCCAGTGATAGCTATTTTTATAACAGCTCGTTTTCTTTATTTTCGATAGAATTCTTCGCATCGCATTTTTTTTCTTCTTTGCACTGCTCTGCTCTGCTCTGCTCTGCTCTGCTCTGCTCTGCTCTGCTCCGAAGTGCTGGGCTGAGAGTGCTGTATGTGTCTGTTTTCATTCCATTTCGTTCTGTGTGTGCGCAAATTTCATTGTAATTATTCGGATTTCGATAGTCTGATGATGGAAGTGATGCGATTAATTCAAAAGCACGCTTCATTCAAATGCGCTAAATTTTGTTTTTGCACAAAAAGAAGAAAAAACGATCCTTTTATTAGACGAAAAAAAGTACGAACTGATGCGCTGTTTCTTTCGTTTGCTCGTTCCAAAGCTATTCTTAGTTAAATCCATTGCATGACGTTCAACGAAATCCGTATGCAATTTACGGTAGCCGGGAATTCCACTGCTGGAGCGCCGGGTATTTTTTCGGTAGTTGCAATCGTCAGAGGAAGGGAAAGAGACGAAGAAAGAAGGAGAGAGAGAGAGAGAGAGAGAGAGAGAGAGAGAGAGAGAGAGAGAGTGAGGCGAAAGCGAAAATTGGATTTAGACGGATCTGTTGCCATTTCACGATGGGGATTTTCTTTTTCGGTGTTTGCAGCGTTTTTTTTAAAGAGAAGAAGAATGCTTTTGCAGTGTTTCATTAAAAAAAAGATGAAATTTTTCGTCTTTTGGAAAGGTTTCGTGTGCGAAAATAGTTTCGGTGGCAAGCGTCAAATGATAAGCTTGGCAAACGCGTTTTTTTAAACGCAGATATTCATTGGTATTCAGGCTGTCTCGAAAACAATTTACTCTGCGCGAAGACATTTTATTCTTTGAAAAGTCTCTAAGAAGATCTATTTAAGGTGTTTATTGAACACTGTTTAATTTAAGACGTTCTATTTAAAACGTAACTCCAAAAATGATTCAACAGTTCATTGTATTCAACGTTAACCGCATAGAAACGAACATGGCTAGCATAGATTCCCAACGAATGATGTATCAAGTAGGAAACTCGTATTTAGTTCGCTATCAAAAGGTTGATAGTTAGAATCACCGAAATTAATTGAATGCTCCTTTTATGGCACATTCCAAGTTTTGAATATGAATGAGAGTCAATTTTTTGAATTTGAAACAGAGCGTGCGATGGAAATAAAAAAAAAGAAGAACAATACGCCATTCGCTGATTAAACTCGAATTCGTGTTCGCCTGGTGATCGCACAACAATGTCACATGCTGACAATTCATCCATATATTACTTTTATATAACTCTCTCTCTCTCTCTCTCTCTCTCTCTCTCTCTCTCTCTCTTCGTATAGCGTCTTTTGATCGCACACGGACCTTGACACGACCTTTTTTAAACAAAATAAACACAATTTGTGTGACTATCCAAAACGCAATTATAATTCCATCGCATTTTATTACAATTCATTTTTTTTTCTCGAGATTCTACATTCTCTTCGTCTCGCTCGCGTTTTGAGTCATTTCTGCTGCAGAATGCAAGCGCACAATGTGCGTGTGTCGGTGTGTATTTGTATGACGATACACAAATGCATACGGCACGCAACTTGGCCTGACCGACTGTTTGTTTTTCAATATATATATTTTTTTTTGCACAAATCATG